ATTTAACATTTAAACATATAACGTGAAATAAAAACATGAGACAATCTGACCACATGTTTACAACCAAACACAAGTCGCACACTTTGACAGAAGAACATTGTCAACATGTTCCTCCACCAACAACGCCCTGAAGGACTCAAATCTTAAAGACAGACCCCCCCTCTATGCAAGTTGTAATCTGTACTGGCAACAGCAGAGGTCAAAGGTCAAACAGCGTCTAGCGTTTAATGGACACGTCACTGTCATGGATGTGTTTTGTGACATGTGATTCACAATAGTTACTGATGTAAGTGCTTGTACAGAGAGAAACCCAGTGGCGAGAGAAGACTGCATCAATGAAAGTCAACACGTTTTCAGAAACTTTGCCCGTGAACAACCTGGAGTCTCCACAACCCGACTACTACAGATCCTCCTCCACACCCAGCTCTGGTGTCAGCTCAACGTCTGATGGGCAGAAAAATCAGGACCACTTTTGCCACTCTGGCTAAAAACCTGCACATCAGAGCTAAAGATGTTGTGGAGGAACAAGCAGCTCAGACTACTGCAGCCAGGGGGCGCTGTTCTCACCAGACGGGACAAAAGGTAGAGTTGGCTGGTGAGAGCACGACCGAGAGGTTAGACCTCATCGAGACGGAGTGAAGAGCCTTTTTCCAAGCACTTCCTGTTGCTGGGTCCCCAGTCCAAGCCACCGCAAACACCAGAACAGATACACCTAGCAACAGTTACCATGGTGATACGGGATGAAAACCAGGGTACGTTGGACATACGTGTGAAGATGATGAGAGAATGTGTCAAGAAAACAAAACTCTTATTATTTTTTTAGAACAAACAAACAAGTTTATTACAGTCACATGCTTTCTGTTAGCTCTTCTGTTAGCTCTTCTGTTAGCTCTTCTGTTAGCTCTTCTGTTAGCTCTTCTGTGGTTTAACGTCTGGAGAATCCGCACAAACTGCTCATTTGTGGTTTGAGACAAACATCTGAACTTTGACTCGTTGATGTTGTTTTGTATTTAATGAGTAAAAAAGAATTATAACGTTTGTGGAACCTTCAGGTTCACCTGACTCAACACGTAATAACACGGATGTGTGAAATCATATGTGCGTCCTCCTTGGTGGAAACATGCCAGGACGCCGCTGACATCCCACATGTTTGACCCCTGAGATCATCATTATCAGTGTGAGAATGGTGGAGGGAGGAAACACCCTGAGAGTTGCCATCTGGTTCTAGAGGACAGATGTCTCAGATCTATATGTTCCAGATGTGCTGAACTTCCTGACAGAGATCGAGCGAATATACGAGCGGCAGAAGTTTCTGCTGAGGAGCTGGAGCTGAGCCAAGGTTCGACTGTACAAGATAGAGCTGAACATAAAGAATGGAGGACTGATAATTACTGAGGAGGAACCAACCCACAGGATGTCAGTCGTTCTGAGGGGAGTTAATTTATAGACCCACAGCGTCATTACGGCTTCACACTGTGGGAACGTGGAGAAGAATCTTTATAACACGTTCAGAATTTTATAAGATGCAAAATCTTAAAGACAGAATAAAATAACAACAGGAATAAAGATTTATTTCATTTAATTTCATGAACACATCTTAGACTCTTCACAGATGTTTCCTGTCTATTTTATTCTTTTAGTTACTGTCTCAGAAATGTTCATATTCTGTGTTTTGAAGAAACACTGTTTGTGTGTTGGCCTCAATGCTTCAAATGAAACTGTCGACAAACAATTGACGGACAAAGACATTTAACCGACCAGCATCCTGCAGGTTAAACCAACAGAACATGTGAACGCAGCTTTAAAAGATTTATCCTCCGACTACAGAAACATTTACATTCCTGAAACAAGTTTGACCCCCCAGTGTGTGTGTGTTGTAACTGGGGGAGGGGGGGGGGCTGAAGAAAAAACAACTGTTACGAATAAAAAACTGAAAAGAGAAAAGTTAAACTTAGTCAGTTAAACTGATCAAGTTAAACTGATCAAGTTAAACTGATCAAGTTAAACAGATCAAGTTAAACTGATCAAGTTAAAC